ACAAGTCATTATAATCTGTAATTATGTCCCCACTGGATGCAACAAATGCCTCGTTTGTAATGAGTTTTATTGGTTTTTGTCTCGTCGCACCGGGACACAGCATCACAGTATGGTAAGGGGCGTAACATTTGACCGATGAGCTTTGTAAAAATCTACGCGTTTCAGAAAGGCGGGGTATAGAAGAGAAACATAATGTACAGTATGTGGAAAATAATGTGTTTTTTTTACCTTAAACCACATAAACACATTTCATTACACAAAATAATGTTATTTTTAGCAACATCATATGACCCCTTTAAGATGTTTAACTTGACAATAAAAACTGTCACAGTCTAAAGTGAATAATGGAATCAGTTTGAATCAGATCACTGATGGCAATTTGGCTCTTTTTGGGAGGAAATCCATTTCTTTTTAAAGCAGACACATGGTTTATGAATGATCCTTCAGCCGTGCTCTTACCATGAGTCATGTATCACAATCTAACCCACAATGAAACCAAAACAGTCACAAACTGTGAGATGGTTACGGATGACAGAGCACTTTTAACTGTAGGCACTGACACCGACTTCTTTTTCACTGTTTTCAAACCTGCATCTTCATTACTGATGGTGAATCTAGTATTTTAAAGGGGTCACATCATGAATAAAAAAAAAAGAAAATTTCCTTGATCTTTAGAAATAAAAGAGTTCAATGTACTATGTAAGACTAATGTATAATGGCAAAACTTATCACTTCTCATGTTTAGGACATTTAAAGTGGTCATTTAAATGCAGTAAAAACTGCCAAACTCGAAGAGGGTAGAAACTGGTTATGTACCATAAAAATTAAAGGGGTGGTTGATTGCAATTTAGCTTTTTTAACGTTAGTTATTGTGTAATGTTGCTGTTTGAGCATAAACAATATCTGCAAAGTTACGAAGCTGAAAGTTCAATGCAAAAGGAGATATCGTCTTTTAAAATTCTGGCAGATTAATGCCTACAAAAACAGCTGGTAGGGACTACAACAAGTCACTTCCCGGGTTCATGACATAACAAACCCAGATAAACCCCACCCTCTGGAAAAGGCAGCAAAGGGGGCGAGGCCATGCTGCGCTGCTTTAGAGAAGAGGAAGAGAAAACTTGAGGTGCACGTAAAAATCTATTCATATATGAATCGCGATTCTGTCTTCTAACGATTCTAATGGATTCACAAGTTTCAAAATCAATGTTCTAAAGCAGCAGTATTCATCCTGTTCCTCGCGTCGCCCTGCTTTTTACAATACAACCGGAGCACATGCCGCTGAAGTGAGGGGTGGGACATTTAGACACGCACTAGAGGCAGTTTAGCCAATCACAACACACTGGGCTAGCTAACCAATCAGAGCCTATTTCTGAGGGCGGGGCTTCATAAAAGCAGGAAATGATCAGCGTGTTTCTCAGAGAAGGGACAGAGCGGTGTAAAAGGTAAATTATGTGAAAAATAATGTGTTTTTTTTTTAAACGAAGCATTAACACATGTTAGGCTGCACCCCATAAACACAATCAAGCCTGTTTTTGAAAGGCTCTTATGCTCACCAAGACTGCATTTGTTTGGTCTAAGTTACAATAGAAGAGCAATATCACAACAATAATAACTTGCAGATGTGGTGCTCAAAAAACTTTTTTGCTGCTTAGCATGTTTGTGGAAACTGTAATACACTACAACTCAAAAGTTTGAGGTAAGATTAAAAATAATCTCTAAATAATAATAATAATAATAATAATATTCCACAAGGACACAATAAACTGATCAAAAGTGACAGAAAATACATAACACTAAAAAAGATTTTCTTTTTCAAATAAATGTTTTTCTTGTGAAATTTCTATTTATCAAAGTATCACAGTTTCCCCAAAAATATTAAGCAGCAAAAAAATGTTTTTAATGATAAGAATCATTATTAATAACTAAGCACCAAATCAGCATATTAGAATAATTTTTTAAGGATCATGGGAAGACTGGAGTAATGGCTGCTAAAATTTTTGTTTTACGATAACAGGAAATAATACATTAAAAAATTTCTTAAAATAAACAACGGCTCTTCCTAATGTTTTTACTGTTCATACTACTGTATTTAAATAAGTGCAGCCTTGCAGAGCATAAGAGACAAAGACATAAGAGAGAGAGAAAAAAAACTTAATTATTCCATACTTTAGACTGGTAGTGTAAGTGGAATTCAAGTGGAAAAAATACAAAGATATAGGGTGTACAGTAACCCCTTGTTTGTTTACACAGGATGCATTTAAGAAAGGAACCTCTGATGACATAATATAAAGCTGGTTCGGGAATATGTCAATACCATTAGCCTGTTTCCAACAAGCATCCCGCCGGTGGAGCTCCATGGTGTGTCCAGATGTTCGCACCGGATCGGTCAAGGCCCGTGGCTCTGTCAGAGTGTGTCTGATCTCTACTACCTGCCTGCCACGCACCAGTGGGTCCTTACCCAGATCTATAGAATGAAAGCTTTCATTACAAATCACACAATACTTCTCCTATTACAAAATACAGTAAATATGTTCTCTACACACTATACTATTACTGTTCTGTTGAAATGTGATCAGTGTCCATTATGATTTTCAGACACTGAAACATGACTCAGCAAATTGTCCAGATAATTGGGAAGTTAAAAACCTTTGAGGAACATGCTATAAGGTTCTTTCCCTAATTGCAAAATCAAGTAAAATAGCAATTCACACATATTAAGTTCTGCTCTCAAATAAGAAAAATAGACTTGAGATTTGCAGTTTTTTTAGTGCAGAAACATTGTAAAAATGTACAGGATTTTACAATTGTAATATAAATGTTATAGTGAAAGCAATGCAAGCTGGGTCACTGTCTGTAGTAGCACAATAGAACACGGTTAAAAAGTGTAAATAAATGTTTCTTCTAAAGTCCCCATATATTTGTTTCCAGTAAAAGTTGCACAATTTAAATTAAATTGTTCAAAAGTAAGCTTAAATACATGTAAGATTTGTTTTAAATAAATGCACTTCTTTTAAACTTCCTATTTGTCAAAAAATCCTGAAAACAGTTTTCACAAAAACATTAAATATTAAAATATTTTTCAACATTGATAATAAGAAGAAATGTGTCTTGAGCAGCAAATCAGCAGATTAGAATGATTTCTGAAGGATCATGTGACACTGAAGAATGAAGTAATGATGCTGAAAATTCAGCTTCACCATTACAGAAATAAATTACATTTGAAAATATATCAAAATATAAAACAGTTATTTTAAATTGTAATTATATTACGGTTTTACTTTATTTTTGATCAAACAAATGCAGCCTTGGTGAGCCATAAGCAACATTCAGAAAAATTACGGACTCCAAACTTGAATAATAGTGTAAATACATCTAGTAATAAATGATAAAACTTGTACTGAAAAAAAATTACTAGTCAGAAATATAAAGTAAATCCACACCAAAATGCTTTACAGCATAGTGCTTAGTTGTGAGTTGTGCTTCACCAGTAACCAGTGCCCAAGTACTGATTTATGATCAAAGACAGTTATTGAGACAGGAAGGAGTATATAGTGCTTGTGGGCATAACAAACACAGTGATAATGGCAGTGGCACAGGGTGCAGACTGAGCAACAAGCATACGAGACAGGAGGAGGGGGGTAAGTGGGGCACCCCGCAGCCGTTCCTAGGTTAAGCGCTCTCAAATTTCCCCACCTGAGCACAGCAGCCAGAGAATGAGGTCACATGCTTTGGCAGCTACAATATAAAAATCCAAGTGCTGTTACCAAAGAGACCAATCAAACAACCAAATAAGCCCTCCGCAGGGAGAGGGGGGATTGTCTCAACCATTAAAACATAAATCCACATTCACATCATGCTGTGGAGGGTACGGATCAAAGAATGTCAAACAGTTGTTGCTCTCACAAGTGCTCCAAGTATAAATCCACTAATGATCAAAAGCTCTGAAAGACACTGTGACCTTGTTCACTACATGTGTGAAGTATTATGTAATATGACAATATCTTGTTATTATAGTGCTTGCAAGGCAGCACGGTTTTGAAATTGCTCAAACATCCTGTTTAGGGTTCGATATGAACCCCCTACTTTCAGTATGTCAGTTGGAGACCTTTGCACATGCATCTCTCATATACATTTCATTAAATAAATCACCTTTAATAATCACATTAGGACATACTGCGATTCCTGTTTTAGGGCCCTGTGAAATTCATTATAATTCCATAATTTATGCTTAAACTTTTCTGGATTCTGTTTTAATAGTTTAATTACATTTTAATATTTAATGTAAATTAATTATAGAAAAAACAACAAATACTTTGTTACAATAGGTTCAAAAAAGTTCACAGGAAGTGAGATTCAAATCTTGGGCAACACAGAAAACCAGTGTTATAACTGTCAAATCTTTCATCTCAAGGCATAGTGCGCTAAAAAATTTTAATTCTGTCATCATCTACTCACCCTCATGGCGTTCCAAACCTGTATGACATTCTTTCTTTCAAAGGAACACAAAAGAAGAAGTTTTTAAGAATATCCAAACCATAAAAGCATCAAAGTAGTGGGTCTCAATTTATCAGTGAGTAGCAACTTAAACCGTCAGCTTGTTTACAGCACAAATCAATCATATGGCTTTAGAAGACTTGGACTATAGCACATGAGCCATTTTAAGGTACTTTTACAGTGCTTTTGTGTACTTTTTGTAGCTTGACATTTTTTAATTCTGTCATCATCTACTCACCCCCATGGCGTTCCAAACCTGTATGACATTCTTTCTTTCAAAGGAACACAAAAGAAGAAGTTTTTAAGAATATCCAAACCATAAAAGCATCAAAGTAGTGGGTCTCAAAGTTTATCAGTGAGTAACAACTTAAACCATTAGCTTGTTTACAGAACAAATCAATCATATGGCTTTAGAAGACTTGGAATATAGCACATGAGCCATTTTAAGGTACTTTTACAGTGCTTTTGTGTACTTTTTGTAGCTACTGTGCATTTAAGAGTGAATGTCTCCCCTGGTTTTACTGTTTGGCTTATTGGGTGAATGACAATATGGGGTTCCCCTCTCCATGTGTGAGAAACACCTAAACACAATGCATCACGTTATGTAATAGATACTGCAGTCTTAAAACTGGCACACTGAGCCAAACCTTGCTAAATAAATCACCGAAAGTAAATGTCAGTCTTATATAACTATATACAATGGGTCTCTTTAAGGCTCCGATATACTCAAAACAAAGTTCCTTTTCGTTCTTTGTTTAGGGGTAAAACAAAGTTTGAAATACGTGAGCAGCGGTATACTGATAGCGAACATCCTGACGCCGCCCACACTGATGAAAGCAATGTTTATATGAATATGTAAATATGTGCTGCGCGCTTTTCTATCAGTAACAAAATAAACACAAAAAAATGGAGAAAACAGCAAGCATTTTTTAATAAAAATCTGATCATAGCAACATGGGTATGTTTGCACGAGCTCTGCAAATTAGCACTCGGAAGTGACGTCACGTTTATTTTTACATGGCACTTTATTCAATATATTGCTTAAAAGCAATTAGCAGTATTAAACATGAAAAACAGTGTCAGTGTCTGATTTCATCAGAAGCACAACTTAATTTACTACTATAAAGCGGCTCTCCACTGCACGGACATGAACGAAATGAACCCAGAGAAGAGTTCCACGTGAAAGAAGGCGGAGCCTCAGCACACACCTCCTATGACGTAATCGTAACAGACCAATGGTAGTACGAAGGTGTTTTGCAGCCGGAAACAACTTTTCCAGAAAGTGTAGTTCGAACTCCCAAAACGAACTTCGTTTTGTCCGGATTTTGTTCGAAATGATGTCACATCAGTTCGTTCTTCGATTTCGCTTGAAGTATATCGGGGCCTTTAGGCCAGATGATTAATACAGATGCTAATAAAAATGTAATGACAATATGAGATAATGGAAAGTACCTGCTTCATCTAGGATTCTCACTTTTACCCATTCTGTGAACTGATAGTTACAGTACAGGTCACTCACTCTACAAGTATATTTTCCAGATCTCTGGAGAGAGACGGTGAGCTCAGGCTCTGTCCCACCTGCCACCTGAAAAGATTGAGCATTCTGTTATTTGATACATTTGGGTATTTATTCTTCACAGTATTAAGATCAACTTTTAAAAAAATTAATCAAAGATATAAAAGATATAGTCTACAAACCTCTGCCTGTTGTTTATCAAACCACTGATACTTTAATGCACCAGTGCCTATTGCTTGAACTCTTAAGGTCACCTCATGGTTTGGTGGTACACACACAGACATCGGCTGCTGCAGAATAACAACTTCTGCCCACAAAAAAGAAAATATATAATTTTGTACAAATATATATATATATATATATATATATATATATATATATATATATATATATGTATATACTGTATATATACTGTATATAGGATAGGATAGGTGTAATATACACACCAGTTCTCATGACTGTCGGCGCTAGTCTTTAGTGTGTAAGGGCCTAGACCGCAATAGTGCTGCACTTTTAAGGTAGTCAGTCATTTCAGAATTTTACCACCTGTGTAAAAACAAAACAGAAGTATGAATAGTGGCATAACATAACAACAAAAGTGGCACTGAGAATCAAAACAAATATACACTGAGAAAAGTTAAGCAATCCAGAGTTTGGAACAGTTAGCACAGAAAGTGTCCAAGGATTAATTAGTAAAAGTTTCATTTCAACAGTGTTTGTACAGTCAAAATTGACAGCAAATTTGAAATGACTAGGTTTTTAATATCTTGTTTATCTTTAAATCTTTACAACATTTTGCATGAAAATGAGAAATCTCTTTCATAACTATATAAGATTTATAGTATACTATAACAATATAAAACTCAATATAAGATTTATTTAAATATTCATATGTATGCTTTAAATGCATGACCATTTCTAATTTCTCAGTCAGAAAACTTAAAATCTCATTCTTCAAAAGGACACATAACCACCTCAATACAATAAAATACTTTAATGCATTAGCAATTATATCAGCTTATGAATTTTAATGATTATAATATTTAAGCAATTCTCCAATATGTAAATGTGACCCTGGACCACAAAACCAGTCTCAAGTCGCTTGGGTATATTTTTAGCAATAGCCAAAATGACCGATTTTTCTTTTATGGCAAAAATCATTAGGATATTAAGTAAAGATCATGTTCCATGAAGATATTTTGTAAATTTCCTACCGTAAATATATCAAAACTTAATTTTTGATTAGTAATATGCATTGCTAAGAACTTCATTTGGACAACTTTAAAGGCGATTTTCTCAGTATTTTGATTTGTTTGCACCCTCAGATTCCAGATTTTCAAATAGTTGTATCTCGGCCAAATATTGTCCTATCCTAACAAACCATACATCAATGGAAAGCTTATTTATATAAATCTCAATTTCAAAAAATTGACCCTTATGACTGGTTTTGTGGTCCAGGGTCACATATAAGGTCTCAAACGATAAGGAGACTAGAGCAAGTTGTCACACGTTTTACTAATTAGGTAAATTTTTTTAGAATTCAATTTCTGAATACTGTAGGCACATAAGGCATTGGCTACAAACATTTTGAACCATATTGCCTAGGAAAAAATACAGTTCTAAAAACACATGACTTTTTGGAACTTTTTGTGAAAACATGCACCCTTTATATGGAAATCATATACCGTAATTAATAATTGTATAAATTTGTAACACTTAAAACAACTGGCCCCAATTTTTATAACTGTGAAAGCACAGTTTAAACTTTCTTGTCTGAATGTATGTCAGTGTGGTTTTATTATTATTGCGTTCACTTGTTTACACAGCAGATAAATCTCAATTTCAAAAAATTGACCCTTAAGACTGGTTTTGTAGTCCAGGGTCACATATAAGGTCTCAAACGATAAGGAGACTAGAGCAAGTTGTCACACGTTTTACTAATTAGGTACATTTTTTTAGAATTCAATTTCTGAATACTGTAGGCACATAAGGCATTGGCTACAAACATTTTGAACCATATTGCCTAGGAAAAAATACAGTTCTAAAAACACATGACTTTTTGGAACTTTTTGTGAAAACATGCACCCTTTATATGGAAATCATATACCGTAATTAATAATTGTATAAATTTGTAACACTTAAAACAACTGGCCCCAATTTTTATAACTGTGAAAGCACAGTTTAAACTTTCTTGTCTGAATGTATGTCAGTGTGGTTTTATTATTATTGCGTTCACTTGTTTACACAGCAGCTACAGAAAATAATAATAATTATTATTTTATATATGATATGATATGATATGATATGATATGATATGATATGGAAATGTTAGTTTGGAGGTAAGAATTCACAAAATTACTCTAATTTAATAGGGGTTTGAATTTTTGACTCAAAACCTTAAAGTTACTTAGGCATAACGCTTTTTAACAACTTCCCTGTGTGACAAGCAGACCCGGACGGTAACAGCATCTAGTCTGTGGCGTCGTTCGTTTGCAGTATAGATGTGGTGGGGTGTTACACTCACCTGTCCTAGTGCTCATTGCTGTGTGCTGTGAATACCGGCTGACTGCGACTTATTTCACACTCCCTTCCTAAAAGCCGTCATGCAAACAAGCGCAGAGCGTCAGCTGTATCGATGTGTGGATATTCAACATACTGCGATAGAGTTTGGCTGAAAAATGAATGTTTCTTCCCGTAATGATGACAGACTGGCCCTCCCACTACCGCTGTGCTCAATGTAGATGCGCCCTCAACATCTGCACACTGCAGCAGGTAGACTGCAAATATGTTTTTCTTTCTTCTTCAGGTTCATGACGGGCTGGCGTCATATTAAAAGCAACTAACAATCCTGAGCTGGAAAGATGATTGATTATTGGTAGACTATATGAGTTTACTAGAAATATATGAAATTATATTTCTATTTTAGGTAAATGTTATATTCATAAATGTATACAATTTTTATTCATAAGTAAAAAAAAGTGCCTCAAAGTTTTTTTGTTTTTTTTCAAAAAGAATGTATAATATTCTGTATTTATTTATTTCATTTTTTTTGTCTCTGAGCTTTCAGCACTTTATCATTGCTTTTAAAAGTGATTTAAAAATACAAATGTCATATAAATGGTTTGCAATGCAATCTTATTAAGTTATTATTATTATTACTTATACTACTTCTAATTTGGTGTCCAACTCAAGTCAATGCCCAAGTAAATCTTTTGTAAATTAAGTGTGACTTGAGACTGAATGAGACTGAACTATTTATTTGTTTGTTTGATCGTAGTCGTGCTCTGTTCTTTGGATCCCCTTTTTGTTTTTGTATTGCCTTACTGTCAGCAATGAAAAAAAATAGATGATTGATTATTGTGATGCAATATTTCAAAACATTAGACTGGCTATACCCTTTACAACATTACAGATACACTTACAGTTTTTGTTGTATAGCTCCTCCATATTCCTTTAAAATAAGTGTTTTATTTTCTTTCTATGTGCTCTCAATTTTAAATCTTATTATGCAATTCTGAAATCTTTTTAAGCAATAATAATTCTGTATTAATGATTAATTTAATGATTTGTTACTTACGTGTGACTTGAGTCCAAGTGTTACACTCAAGTATACGTCTCCGTTATTATTATATGTGAGCATGTGTTTCATCTCTTGTTTGAATGATGCACGGTATGTTTGTGAGAGTGGTTGCTTGACAGCATGTAATCAGAGCCCTTTTATGATTGGAAAATGATGCAATGACACATGACCGGTGGGAAAGGTTGTTGACTGTTACAGACAGACAGAGTGACATAGAGGAGGCTGTCCTAATTAAACCTGGGCCATGCTTTGAGCTTGTCTGGAGAGCTGTCATCAAAGGGCCACTTGCATCAGATCACTTTCACCACACCACATACTGGATGCATTTGGATACATTTCTACACACATTGGGCAATTTCTATGTATGTTAATGTATCCCTATCTAGCATCATCAGTCAGTCAGAGAGATTACAGTATAACATGAGGCTGGCAGATAAGGAATGATTAAAGCAGGAGATATTTTTGACTTTTAACCTGTGCTTGGAAGTTTTTGCTGTCGTTTTCTTGGATGCTGCTTTCAAGTGGCTTCAGAGCAATGGCTAGTTGTGGAAAATGTGATGTGCTCTTGCGCCTATTTGTAGGCCTGCTATAAATAGAGTCCTGCTGGCAACACATGCTCTGCTGTGATTGACAATTCTAGTGCTACTGTGACAGTAGGCTCCAAAGAACAGGCAAAGAAACATACTAATGGTGAGTTCTTTAAATGTTATACTATAATACAAGCCATTCAAAATTCAAACTATATGTGTTGGTTTGAAATCAAATACAAATGACTGTGTTTGACCAAATTAAAAGTAGCAAACAGCAGTCCCTATTTATAACTTCTCTGTTCAAATGGTTTGCTTGTTGAGACTAGCTGGCCTCAAAAGAGAATGGTTCTGTCTAAACTATATTTAAAAATTTCGGTTACATATTATTAATATTTGTATTACTTTTAATGTTTATATTTGATTGATTTGGTTTTTTTTTTTTCCTTTTCAGTAGTTCTCCAAATAGTTACCAAGTGGAACTTTACATTTTGGTTCCGAACGCCAAGAGACAGACCTGAATTTTATTCTGCAGAAATACTGAAACCCCACTTAAAGAGATTGGTGGGTTTTTTGGACTGTTGAAGTTATTTCTTTTGGACAATGACATCCAGGAGGCCCTTGACCCGCTCTTACTCTGGAAATGGGAGATCGGGAAGCCAAAATGGGGAGGATGTTTCATCGGCAAGCGGAAGGTCAGAGAGCCGAAACTACCTCTCCAACGTTAGGCCTGAAAACAGGTAAAAATTTGTCAAATTTGCTTGAGAGCATTTTTTTTCTGCCATGTTTGATTGTGAAAAGTCTGTCTGCTTGTGTCAGAATTATCCAAGCTTCCAGTTTGGATGTTGATTTTGAGGTATATGATGGTCTAGAAATGAATTCTGTTTATAATAAATATTTTGGAAATACATAAATACAGTATTTCACTAATCAAATATATATTAGTGAAATAAATATAATCAAAAATGTATATAAATTATATGTTATATTAATGGTTTTATCATTTCATTAAAAAAAAAAAAGTCTTTGGTTAGAACATGATCATTGGTTTCTATGTAAAAAAAAATCCCCCTATTCTCCTATTCCCCTATTAAATGAGATTATAGTTTAGCATCATCACAAAATTGTCACAAAATCCCATTTTCATCATTTCATTTTTAATTTATTTTTTATTTATTTTTATTTTTTTTGTTGCTGCTGAAATACTGATGTGGTTTCCACATTGTGTTTGCTCAACTACGGTTATGCCAAGAAAGACCACAACATTTTCACCATTAACAACAGTGTTTACTATATCATTTATTACAGATGCTCCTGGCAGTGATTAAAATCAGGGTCACACAGTGACTAGCCCCTAGTTTAGATGTTCTTGTCTGATGAGTGTCCATTTGCCTCTTTTCTAAATAGCTTTTCAAATCACAGGTATTCAAACTACAGGCCACCAAGGTAATAAAAGCTTCCCAAAAGGTCAATCCTAAACTAACTACACTTCAAATAACAATTTCTATTCCCCAAAATGCCATTTTACAATTTCAGAAATACCAAATTATAGCCAATTGCTTTTGATTGCAACGTGATCAATACTGTGACCCACCCAAATAACCACTGTATATTGTGCATGAAAAAATACACTTTAAGTGATACCCCAAAAAAAACTTTTACGTGTTGATATTATCCGGCTAAAATAATATCCTCTCATCATGTTAATACCTTGCAGCCTTTCCTCCCAATGACACCAAATAATTATAATTTTATGTTTTACTACTGATTAATAATACACTTTCATGTCTATGCAAACTCCTTGCTTTAGATGTTGCTTATTAATTCATTGATTTATATAATAATGTTTGGATTCATTTGATATAATATATACTAGCTTTTCTGAAATGGTGATTGATAAGTTGACACTTTGTCTTGGCCACTTCCAGAAGTACATTATGTACCGTCATGGCTCAATTGACTGAAGAGACCCAGCCATGTTTTGAGACCACCATAAAATCGAAGGCAGTGTCAGAATCGTGCAATGTCAAATTCTCATGTGTGGTCACAGGTAAGTTGCTTTATGATTATGAAAATAAATGAAAATACTGAATTTAAGTTTAAAACCTATACATAGTTTGTTCTGTAACATTTCAGTATTGTAAAAATATACAAGATATATATGGTGAGGAAAGTCTAACAACATTTGAGTCTTTTTTTTTTCTTAAAATATACAATTATGATTAGATTTTCTAGGTTGAATATATAAAACCGTTACTATTTCCATTTAATAACAGCTAACTTTGTTAACTTTACTCATGCTTTCACCAGGTTACCCGGCTCCTGAGTTGACCTGGTACAAAGATGACATGGAGTTAGATCGATATTGTGGTCTTCCCAAATATGAAATATTTCGCAATGGAAAAATTCACACACTCCACATCTACAAGTATGATTAACTTCTTATTTCTGCTTATTTTCTACCTATCTTTGCCTTTCTAAAGCAATACAATTCTTTTTTTAAATTTATTTCATACATTCACATGCAAATCAATGCTTTTAGTAGTGACTACACAATGACAATATTTGCTTCATTTGGCAGCTGTACAGAAGATGATGCAGCCATTTATCAGGCCTCAGCAAGGAACAGTAAGGGCATCGTCTCCTGTTCTGGGGTGCTGGAGGTGGGCACCATGAGCGAGTTCCTGATCCACCAAAGGTTCTTCGCCAAACTAAAACAGAAGGCTGAGAACAAGCGGCGAGACCTGGAAGAGAGTCGACGTCGGGGTAAGGAGAACATCCAGAAGGAACAGTTAAATGTGATTAACCAGGAACACTTACTAAGGAAGCATAGGACTCCTGCTGGGAACGACCCCCTGAGCTCCTCTCCCACAACTCAGGATGGAGAGGAGAATGTGACCTCCCAAGGGACAGATGAAGAGCAGCCTACAATCATAGACGATAAGTCTGATAATATCACAGTACAGGCTTCTGTAGGCATAACAGAGATGATCATGGAGAATGGTAACGAGAAACTCAACAATAATTGCGATCCAATGGAGGTGGTCGCCACAAAGCAGTCTTCCAAAGAGAAACCAGGTGAAAAGAAGAAGCGTATTACCAATGGATTTGATGAGGTGGGTGTTATTAAGCCCACCCAGAGCAACAGAAAACGAGAGGATGCTAATGAAGGAATGAGCCTGGCAAAATACTTAGCTGAGTCTGTGCAGTCACAAGCTGCTGAACAGCATCAAAATTTCGCAAAGTCACAGGAGATCATGGAGGTCAATGTTACTCCTGTCCAAGAAAAAGAACAAGAAAGAGAGCTGGAGATAGAAAGGGAAAGATTAAAAGAAGAGGAGAGGAACCGATCAAGAGCAATAGACCGGGAGAAAGAGCGAGAGAGAGCCAAAGAGAGAGAACGAGAGAAAATCAGGCAAACAGAACAAGAACAAAGAGCTACCAAAGCCGCATCGCACAAAGAGCCAGAACCTCAACACAAGTCAGCTCTAACCTCGGTTCTTCACTCCCTAAAGGACATATTCTTCGGCAAAAGCAAGAAGTCTACAGAGCCAGCAGAAACCACAAAGAGAACTAGTGAAGTTAATGTAGAAAAAGAAATTCCACATGAGAAGCACCTCCCTCCCTCACAAACACCTCCTCGAGAT